ATTAGAATAGTGTTCTTGATACTGCCACCGGGGGGCAGTATAGAGGATCAGAAAACTAGAAAGATGAAGTGGGGAAAATGCAAAAATGAACAATTACATCAACTAAAATGTTTGAATCAGACTTTCAATTGTTTTATAATAAAATTACATTTATCTTTCAATCATTACTATGAAATATAAGCTAAGGTAGTTTACTGATGCTCATCTCTGATTGCCAGCCAAATTTAATCAGGCTGCTAAGTGTAGCATGAACAAAAGTCAGAAGGTATGAGGCAGAAATTATACTAAACAAATATAATAACTTTTGAGAATAGCAGATTAAAGTGAGAAAAAAAAACATTCAGAAAGATGTTTCTTTACATATTTAGTAGCACTGTTTGCAGATTTCAAAGGGTTTCCTCACCCAGAAGCTAATGCTGTTTTGAGGGGCTATGGCATGGAAAAGTTTGGGAATAAGAATAAATGCATGTTTTCCATATGAATAGGCACCATATAAATGCAAAGCTGATACTTTCACTGATCCCTATGTAAAAGATTCTTCCCTTTGTTTCACACACATTTTGAACAAGTACTGGAGCCACTTGGGTATTTACCATATTTCCCCAAGCATACAAATTTTGTCTACTCCCTTCTGGAGTGAAAAGTAGTAATTATTTGCTCCAACAAAAATAAAAGCAACTGTATTAGAAGGATCTCTTGGTCTTCAAAACCTGAGACTGACCTCCACTCTTTTTGTTATCAACCATTTCTTAATTACACCGAGAACTGAAGAAACGGCTTTTTATCTCCTTTTAGCCCTCCAGTGCTTTGTGGGTTTCAATTATTTTAATTATCTGGGTTTAAGACATGCAGTTTAGAGAACTCTGTGGCTGCATATTAGAGTTTAAGGAGTCTGAGAGTTTAGAAAGCCTTAAAATTAAGCACTTGGCTTGTTCGTTATGACCGTGAGCAGACCTATCCCCTAACGAGCTAATTAAGACCTGAGAGCTCCAATCCCTTGGGGTGTCTATACATTTTTAAAGTGCTACTTCTCTTTATTCCCCCCGCTCTAAGGTTGTAGGAAGTAGAAGCAATAGATGCATCCATCAAGAACTCAAATATAATGTTTCGACTTAGAGTTCATTTATTCGGGATTCTTCCTCTGTCAGTGTGATAAAAGTGCCATACAGAAAGCAGTGGCCGGGTTTAACGGTCCACTGTCCATTTCAAGAGGTTCAGTTCTTGATTAAGTGTGCTTCTTTGTCCGCCGTAAGGCATGCAATTACAGTCTCACACTCTTACAAGTTAGCAGAACAAAGGTGTCTTCATCTGCACACATGTGAACCCCGGGTTTTAGTGTTTCTGGAGCTCGTTAAACACAGACGGGGACCCTCGGTTGCTCCCGTCGCCGCCGTTTCAGCGTGGGTGTGTTTTTAATAACGAACATGGCGCGCCATCTCCCATACACACATTTAGTTGTCTCGTTTGTTCAAGAGACCATCACCTGAACAAGCACAAACATTTACCGCATCAATTTGGAGACAGGTTTAATGACACAAATGGTGAAAGTGTGAAATGTACCAAAGGTTTGTGCCTCCTGTTTATTATCATCACACCATTTACACCAAAGTTTCACATTTACCTCGTGCCACATTGCTTTTAAGATTACAGCTTTACAAAATATTCACAACACTTGAACTTTTTTTTTTACATTTTCATGTTTTACAAAATGTCAGTATTTCTGTTGTATGTATTTTCATCAGTTTTCAAGATTTATCACAGTTTATTTGGATTTAGGTCTAAGCTTTGAATAGGCCACAAGGGTTTCCCAGGTGTTTTATAAGCCTGACGGGCCACCAAGCTTCAATTCTGCCAGACTAAGCCTTTTTTTTTTTATGTTTGCCTTTTTTAAGCATTTACATTTATTAATACCTAAACACTACTGCATTCCTACAACACAATTACCTAGTGATATTTTCAAATTTCCTGTCTATTTTTTTTTTAATTCCTCAAAAACATGGTAGGGCGCTGAATGACTTACCGTTGGGCTTAGCAAGTTTTCTGGGGGAAACCCCAGATCATTCTAAGATGTGAGCATGCAGCAGTCTAACCCAATTCAATTGTGCACTTAAGTCACATAACAATTACAGACATCCATTGAATTTGATGGATATACTTGCTCCGTCAATGAATTTGTAGTATTTGCTTTGTGAATGAGATACTGAGACTGCAAAGATGGTGGCCACAAAGATTTGCTAAAAAATAAAAATAAAAAGTGCATTAAATCCCCTGTGTTCCTTCTTCTGTGGCTTCTAACTCTGCTAATTTGTTTTCTCCATTTTCTGCACAAGCAAGCAGAATCAACTAAAAATCTTTTTTTTTAAAGTGACCATTAAAACCGGCAAAAGAGAAAGACGCATAGTTAAATCTTGGACTTTCTTGGTAACATTTTTCCCCTACTTAAATGAAAGTAAGGTTTCAATCACACCTTAGAAACGATCTTTAACCATTCCTCTTTAGATCTATGCTTTAAAAGTTTACGTTTATATTTAGTCACAAACTCCTGAAAGCCTCGACCGTCTTTAGCATCTCTGCAGAGTGAGAATAGAGCTCCTCTTAAATCGATGAGGCCATGACCCAGCATGCAGAGAAAGTTCAGAGAACAACTTCAACTTGGTGCTTTCGTGCATCTTCAAACCCATTCTCTCTGTCACTAACCATCTGTAGGAACTGAATTGAAGACTGACTGGTAAATTGAGAAATTTCCTCCACGACTCAGAGCATCAAAGGTATGCTGCACATTTGGCCTGTTGCCTGAAAACAACTGGGAAAATGAAACGGGTTTCACTAAGTGACCTCTGTTTTCTTGGAAAGGCAATGAAAGGACACACACAACCAATCATGCACTTCCCCAGACTTGCTTTGTCTGATCTGACGTAGATGTGTATCTTTGAAGACTCAATAAGGTCTTCTCTACTACAAGGGATAATCATAATAGAACTTCTTTTTAAACTTCTCAAAAACTTTGCATCTCTTGTTGCTATGAACTTTGTTAATTCTTACAGATAAAAGAGTAAACTGTAAATAACATCAAAACTGTTTGATAGTCACCAGCTAAGTTTTTTGTATTTCCATTGCCCACATGCTCTTTACTTTATCGCCATCTGCTGACCAAAGATTGGCATTTCATTGTTTTTCTTACAATCTATGAAACTGTTTGGATGGAGAGATTTTCTAAATTGAGTTTTACTGTGTAAATTGTTACTATGGATGTCAATAGGTCATACATGATGTATAAATACCCTTGGATCCCGTTGGATGAAAGGCAAATATTTAGTGTTTCTTAATTTAATGTCAGAAAGTGAAAAATTGTGTCTATATTACTGTTGAAGTAAATGTCTGGTTTTAACTGTGAACATCAGGTTAGTTTTCCTACAGAGAGATGTACTATATGCTGGGCCTTGTGGTTTAGTCTAACATACAACCCATTTATGAGTTCTGATTCAAAGTCGTCACAGTGCCTCCATTTGTTGCACACCTGCTGACCAAGCAGGGTGACTGCTGGACATACAGTAAAGTCGTACATCAACTTTACTGATTAGAAATATAAACACGGATGTCAAAGACAGATGGCAGAGGATTTCAGGTAAAGATATGCCAACTTGTACATTATTTCTGTTCCACATTGCAATTATTAAAGTGGATGCACTTTTATTCTGGGAACTTGAATTGTCGCACTTTGGTCAATTTCACTGACCTTTTAAGATACTTGTTTACATTCTAAAACACAGAAACACCAGCGTCTCCAATGATATACACACCATCTATCTCTGCATTTCTGCTTTCTCCACTCATATTCATGAACATCTACCTCAAACAACCGCACAGGTACACACATAATAACAATCCACAGCGCCAGCCAAATCCTAGAAGCACTATTGTTTGGTCTCATCTCCTTTCTCGAAACCACACTTCGTCTTTCTTTGCTCAATCCTTCACTTCTCGGACAGGGGGCCGGTTGCCCTTTCCTATCCACGCAGTGGGGAAATGCTAATGGCATTGCAGCAGAGCCAAGACAATTAGCAGACAGAGAAAGCAGACGATTACGAGCAGACTTGAAGCACACTGTGTACCGGTGAGCAACAGGAGACACACACTGAAAGGCAAAGAGACAATAGAAGGTGTCTAGGTTTTGGTTTGCAAATCATCTTTGCATTCCAAGCAAGTAAAACTGAACGAAACGTAGGTCTGTAGCGACTGGCAAGAGAGGAAGTTTAACGATTGAAAGTTGGAAGGAGCAAACAGCAAAGTTATAAGTTCAAACTGGGATCCAGAATAAATTACAGGGTTTCTGCAGGCTTCACCAACTCGAATTTAAGACTTTTTAAGCCCATTATTAATTAAATTTCAGACCTACATCGCCAAAAAAATGTACGAATTTAATCCAGCCACCTGGCGATGAATTTGCACCAAAGTAGATACAAAGATAGTTATCTAGGTAGCTAGCTACAATTAAGAGGTTTGAGTGAGGTTTTCCTGTCAACCTTTTGCCTGACAGAAAAGTCCCAACAGAAAAGAAATACATAGACTATATGATTAAATAGCCCTGACAAGACCAAATTTAAGACCTGTGGTTTACATATTTAAGGCCAACTTATTTCTTTAAAATTAATTTGAGACATTTCAAGATTTTTTATGAATCACCATGCATTATCTGCACAAGATTCCAATACAAGAACTAGTCTATTTATTAACAAAAGAGCAACATTAAGAAGATCTGAACTAGGCAGCTGATTTGATCAACTTAAAAAAAACTCCCGTCCTCTCCCTCCCAAGAAACTTTATCCAACAAAAAAGTCAATAGCCATAATGAAACAGTTAATTTTGATGTCCCTCAATCATGTTAATAAATCTTAATCTTTCCATTGGTTTGCACCAATTATAGTCTTGAAGATGGTGAATGTCTTAAGTAATTTGTCATCCATTTGTAACTTTGGTTCAAAAAGTAAGGTCATACCTACTTTTAAAACTCCAACTCTCACTCTGTCTGATCTTCCTTGCAGAGACGTTCACAAGCCATCGTTTTCCAAGTCAAGTTTTGCCTGCTTCCTGGGAGAATTGCCCTGAAATGTATATAGATAAAAAGAATTATGTTGGAAACTAAAAAGTCGCCCAAGTGCCAGGGATCTTCTAAAGCCAGGTGATTAGATCCAACCTCACCCCTGCTGTTGGTTCTAGCAGTCTAAGGCAATCACTAGGGTTGGATCATGTCCATTTCTTGTAACCCTTAAGAGGCCATTACATCAAAAACAAAAGTGATCAAAACAATGAAGATAAAAACACTCAAACAAAAAGTTCTCAACATCAAAAAGACCCAACAGGTCACATTTTTTGCTAGAAATCAGCAGCATTATTGAAAACCTTTACACTTCAGGTTCAAAGATGCTCTTATTAAATAGTTTGTTTAACCCTTACTAGACTCTCTTATTGCACAGGAAAACCACATGCTATGTTCCCGCGATATCAGACAGCAACTCACAGAATCCCCTTTGTTTTCAACACTGCCTCCCAGATTTCTTTTTAGTGCATCATTTCCTTGCTACTTTTCAACTCTAAATCAGACTTTCCCCAACATCCAGTCAACATTGTTTCTTGTTCGTCCTTGTTCCTCCTATAGATCTCTTTTTATTGCCAACAGCAACATTTTTCTCTCCTTTCTTCTTCTTTGACAACCTCTACATTTGTTTTGCAGGAGTTTTAAAGGCAGCAACGATTTCTTGCTTTGATAGACTGATCGATATGGGCATCTTAATTTACAGAAAATCTGGCCAAAGAGATATTCGCAGGTTTGAATCCCTCTACTAAAATCAATGTCAATGTTTCAAAAATAATACATATACAGACCAGAATTGGCAGTAGAGGATCAGCTAGTGCCTCTTTAGAGAAGATAAAGAAATAAATACATTAAACTTCTGCCCTGGTATACCTCACTATCATTTGTGTACCTTGTTTACTACTGATATGACGCTATATGCCAAACTAGTAATGTTGTTTGCCCCCGGCTCTAAAAATCTAAATAAGTTCATTTCTGATATATTTTTGTGAAATCCCAAAGTAGAAATGAATGCCTTGTCATGCAGATAAGTTTCTTTTAAAGCAGTATAGCTCTCATTCAAGTTAAATACAATTTCTCAGCTAAATAATCTTTGTGAAATGCTTTAACTTAGCATATGCTTTTCAATCATCTGGCAAACCCTGTATTTTCAAATATATTTGGACATATGGATGTTTAATATTAATGTTAAGAGAGTCAATAAAAAAAAACCTACTAAAACTAAAAACTAAAATACAGTTAGAGGGGCTTCTACAATGTCGTTCTTTGGACATATGAGCCTAAGAACATCAACAAAAAATGAGTTTAACTAAAATAGTTTAAACGCATTTTTTGTTGATGTTCTTAGGCTTAGGTTTAACTAAACCATTTTAGTTAAATGCATTTAACTAAAATGGTTAGTTAAATGTTATTTGTTCCAGACAAATAAGTTAAAGTGAAACTATATGTAAACATATAGATGTCATGGAAAAGTTTGGGAACCTCTGTTCTAATTTATTCACTTGGCTGCATTGGCTTCATGCGTTTGTTCCATTTTAGTAAACAGTTTGTTTAACCCTTACTAGACCCTCCATCCTGTGCCACTAATCTGTCATTTAACAGTAATGCATTCTACAGACAGATTATAAACTCCTCATTGTTCAATAATTTCACTTGTAAGCCTGTTGCCCCTAAAGGGATTATATGAAAACCGTAGCTGGAACGTCTAAACTCCTGATGTAAAATCATTCAATCAAAAAAAAAATAAAAAAAATTGCTTTCCTGCCCTGTAAGCCGCCCTTTCAGTTCAACTGAGCCAATTTTAAATGTAGATCTGTATTAAACCTCACTGTATTAAAAAAATTCAGCTTGATGGCAGCAACTAAAATGGAGGGTAGATAAACTCAAAAAGAGCTCCACTTGCTAAGGAGCTTAATCACGGCGCACTCGCAGCCAAACATCCCTCTAAAACGTTCCTGTAATTAGCTGACTTGGCCGACTGAAGATTTACAAAGAAAGAGACCCAAAGGTTCTCACAGATAAAGACGCTTGTAGACCCAACTAGTCCAACTGAATCCTTGAGAGAGAGCAGGCGGGACACGCTGATTAAGTGAGGAAGGGATTGGCAGTGGAAACAAAGCATATGAGATGATGGGAAGTAGACAACTTTTAGTCTGTTGATCTGCTAGCTAAGTGCTAAAAACTGGATCTCCTATATTTAAAGTGAATATATTTTCAGAATTATGTTAAATCTACAAAGATGTCTGATGGAGTGTTAGTGCCATTCTAAGAAAATAAATTACAATAAGTCATAAAATTACAAGAATAAAGTTGAAATATGTTATTCTCGAAAGATTTCAACTTCTCACGTACGACTTTATTCTTGTATGAATTCAACCCTACTCTCATTATTTTGACGTTTTTCTGGTACAACTAGTCAAAAAATCTTACTTTATTCTTAAATGATTTAGACTCATGACTTTTTTGCAAATCTGACTATTCTCAAAAAACTGATTATATTCTCTTATTTTGATTTTTCTCGTACAATCTTATTCTAAAAATATTACTTTATTCTTTTATCACTTCGACTTTTTTCTCAAAACAAAGACTTTACCATCTAATTTAATGACATGGCCCTAATACTCTGTCATAAAGAAGAACAAACTTGAACTTGAATGAACAGAACTACCAGGTCTTCCTGACTGAGCAGATCTTAGCAGGGAGAAAGCTGGTTTCCCTTCCAGACTGATCAATAGCTCATATGCAGTTTGGCAGCAGCGGTTCAGATCCTTATCCAGCCCAGCAGGATGGGCACTATCTGCACCAGCACACTTTAATCAGAGGGTGTTATTGGGATCGTTGCTCTGAGAGAAGTGGGGGACAGAATGCGCGCGCGCGCACACACACACACACACACAATGCGGCCAATCAATCACTTTAATTGATCGAGAGAATGACGGTGGGGAAAATGAGCTCAGACGGCTGCGGGAGCAGAAGCAGCAGTTGAAGCTTTATGCGCGTTTGTGGGAGATGATTGCCACTGAATTGAACTGGCGGACATCCGCATCCTGAAGTTTTTAATGTGCGCTGTGTCCGTAATAGACCTTCAAACAAAACTAAAGGTCAGACAAGAGCTCTGTGGTGTAGCTGGTACGATGCAAGTCAATGAAGTTGTCTTACTTTTCTCTACCACTAACACCAAAGAGACCTGGACAAAGTTTGATTTTGTAAAATGGAACGCATTTTCAGACCAAGTTTTTATTAAATAAGCCTTTTTGCATGGCAGTTCTGCAATTTATGGCCACAAACAAGACAAAAAAGTTTCAGGGAGACTGGGGAACACACCACACAAGGATAAAGTCGCGAAAAAGATCAAAGCAAGTTTTGGCTATAAGGCATTTCCTCTTAATTTAACATAGTAAAAACTATCTTCTCATCTGAAAATAGCACAAGCACTCCCAATTCAGTGCTTACATTAGTACCTCAGACAAGTGAAAATGGCGACATTGGCACAACCATAAATCGTTGACCCGGAAGTAGGGACAGTGGAGCCTCCTGGACAACTTTGAAGCTACAACCACTGAACGCTGCGGATTTGATGCACATTTATGTCGTTATAAATTAAAACTCTGAGGATTCTGCTTCGCTTCAAAGCAGTGCGCCATGACAAAGTCGAGCAGCTGACAATAGCACAAAAACATTTTTTTTCTACCACATATTTGTGAGGTTAGTGGAGTAGCATTTCTTTAAAAAAATTTGTGTTGTGCGCGTGTCTGTTTTCACAAACAGTGAATGCGCGCATATTGTGGGTAACATGACGTGAGACACAGGCCTAGCAAAGGCTAAGTTCAGCGTTAGCTTGTGCTAAATGATAAAACATGTTCCCGCCGGATAATACAAAATACACAAGACATATTTTTGTACTTACACCGCCATAATTTGTAGATTTGTGACAAACAGTGGGACCAGAATCTTCCTTCAGTCGAAGTCTGAATCCCGTCATGAACTCTTGGTAGTTTTCAAAGGACTCCTTCCTGAATTTATTCCCACAAACTACAACTTTCTTTGGTAATATCACAGGGACATTGTAAGCAAAAATAAAATAAAGCTCTAACAGAGAACAAAAGATGCATGGACACAAGTTATGTAAATCATGTTTTCCTTTCCCAGCAGCAGCCATTGCGTAGCTGTAAAAACCACACCTGAACAAACTTAGCTTAATGAAGTGGGTGGAGCTCCAAGGATTGCCGGGGGAGGGGCTGGGCTTGGGGTTGCTAGGTAACAAGATGGAGGTTTTTGAAACAAGTCGTTTTGCATACACCCGCAAAACATTTACTTAAATTTAAGTTAAAAAAAAAAAAAACTGATGTTGGGTTTTTCTATTTTTATATTTTGGCTCTTGGACTGTTTCTATAAGTAGTAGATACCCACATGGAAGTTCAGAAACACGCTGGAAGGAGGAAATACTTTTTACTAACAACAGTTAAGATGGATGATAAATAGATGGAGCTAAACACAGGGCAATCCTGAAATAAAACTTCTTAGCAATACTGTTGAATACTTAAGTGTGCATTCACACCAACCTGTTTGGTCCGATTTAACCAAACTCTAGTTCATTTAAGAAGTCCGGTTTGTTTGAGGAGGTGTGTATATCTTTGATGCGGACACAAAAGGAAAAAAAAAAAAAAAAGCAAACTCTGGTCCGCATAAAAATCTCAGTCTTGGTTCAGTTGAAGTGAACTCTGGTGCGGTTTGAATGCGTATGTGGATGCAAGCGGACCAGAGACCGCTTCAAAAGCAGCAAGAGAAGTGAAGCAGAGGGCATTCTGGGTAAAACACTAGAGCAACACTAACGGGAGAAATGACTTGTGGTCTTTGCCAAAGACAAATCCTACTACTGTTGAAATCTGAAAATAAAATCTGCTGCTCCATTTTTTTATATTTCACGAAGACAGAAGTTGCGCTCAATGTCTTCTTCAGAGGTTTTGTTTCTTTCAGTAGCTTTTGGTGCAGCCCCACCAGGGAGGAGGTAAAAAAGTTTCTCCATTAGTTTGGATCATTTCACACAGTGCAGTGTGAAAGCCAACCGCACCAGCTGAAAATGTAACAAACGTTGCAATTCCAGTACCCAATCGAGCCAGCTCTGCTATTTAAGTGTGAAAACACTTAAACAGTAGGCAGAACAGATGTCCACTTTTCAGCTGTAAAATCACCCTAAGCATACAGCCAGAGCTACAATTAACTCAGATCAGGCATGTAAAGCTTAAGTCCCAAGAGACAAAAGTGGTACACTGCAGAATCTTCTCTTAATGACCCATCAGTTGGTTATGTTCACACTGCAAATCTCAAAATGCACCAGAATGGCTATGTAGGTGCAAACAACCGTCAGTGCAACCTGTTTTACACACATTCTTTTACTGTGTGTAAAAGAAAAATGTCAGGTTGTAGTCTTGAGAACATGGTCTTCTGCCTCTGAATTTGGTTGAAACACTGAACTGTTTAAAAAAAAGCAAATCAAGACACAGGAGCCAGTTAGTGTTTTTAAATAATTTTAGCTACCAAGCACTAACATCTGTTGAGGACCAGTCTTTGTTCTGTTGGTGAAAGAACAGTTTCATTTACCCAGAGGACAAACAAAATGTCCTCTGGGTAAATGAGACCAAACTCGACTGGTGTGAATCTTTAAGTCTTTGTCTCATTTTTGCATCCAATAAGTTTGTATTAATGCAACAAGTCCTTTACCTCCCAAGTTTCTTTCCCAGTTCTTTGTGATCCCGTCAGTCAGAAAACATACAAAACCTCTCATGTTGTGACACCGACCTCTAGTGGTAAAAAAGAAGAATTACAGTCACCGGAAATTAAACTTGCAACTGTCACTTTAAAGCGCAACAAAATAAACGGTTAATGTCTAAATAAAAGTGAAATAATCATTCATTGGAGTAAAGAGTAAAACATTTCTTTATTTTAAAACTTTGCATAACAAAAAAAAAAAAAAGAATAGCATTATTTGGTTTTCTTTTATACAAATTATTAGCTTAACATGATAAACACTGTACAACCAGAAATGCATGCATAGCTGCTAACGTGAACAATATCTGAAATCTTTTTTAAAAATTGTGGGCCAGTCCATAATTCACTAGCAAGTATACACACAGAGGAGTTTACAGATTACTAATGAATTACAATTTCACTGATCTTATAAAAACCTATATATATAAAAAAAAAAACAAATCCACTGATAAAATAAGTTTAACATGTTAATAACAATGCCCACATTAAGAACACTCCTTGAGAACTGGTTTTATTTCCAACTTCACACGGAAGACAAACTGGACAACATATAAATATTAAACATTAAATTATGTACAACGTTTGTCCTAATGGGAGCTTTCACTCAACTCAAGTCTTTTAGAGTATTTCTCCATCTTCACGAAGAGGCCATGGCTTTCTCCAAGACATTAATATCAACCAAAGGAAGAGAAGCTACTTCAAAAAATACCCTGGGGGAAATAAAATAAATCAATTATTCTGGATTATTCATCCCGTCAGCTCAGAACAGCAATATCTCTAAGTGTATTTTTGTTTGCAGACTTACTTATGAGAGTATTTGTTCCGGATGGTTTTCAGGTTATCGTCGGATGGAGCTTGAAGGATAGAGTGGAGTTTTCTGACCACAGGCTTCAAGTCAGACACCTGATAGCCGGAGTGGAACTGCAGGATGGGGCACTGCAGGAGCGACAACACGGAAGAAAAGTTACATCCGGCTTTGGGGTTTAACATTTCATGAGATGTTTGCAGTCCATTGTAAAAGTACTTTGGCAAAAACGGTCACCACTTAACCAATATAAGCTTCTATCGTTGTAATATTAGATTTTAATATGCTTCTATAAGACGTACTCGTCTCCCACTTTGTCCACCATTTTGTTGAACAAAAGTTTCCCGTTCAGCCTGCAATGACTCTTGGGATACATTGGGCTGTTACTGATAGACTTGTTCTTCAAATCCAGAGAAAAGAAGAACGCTTTGGGAGGAGCCTTCATCAGTGATCCAGTCTTTGTTGGATCACTGATTCAATTGTAGGCCTGGGATATAACTCTATACCAATATTAAAACACGACAGACATGTATTAATATCAATAGGAATGCTCAATAGTTTCACTGAACTCCAATCCAGAACCACACAGGATTCTGGGGGATGTAGACAGGCCTGTCACAGTAACAATTTTTGCTAGATGATAAATTACTGTGAAAAATGATAATGATCTCAAAACAATTGTCAAGTAATATTGTTAAGTTGACCCTCTCAAAGGTCAATAAACTTTAATTTTGCAAAGAACAATGTTCATTGGAACTGGAAGATATTTTAACCATCTAAAAAAACACTAAAACGGCAATAAAGCATTACTGAACCCATAAACACATTATGAAGTCCACAAACAAAATTGCCCTTCAAAAAAAAAAAAATCATAACTAAACTGCTTAAAAATAAAATGAAATGGAGTCAAAACTGTGCATCACAACACCAGTTTGTCAATATTTCAGATCTTTAAAACAAACAAAAAAAAACTTAATCAATGTTAACTGATATGAAAGGCAATACGTAATCAGCTTTCAAACACAGACCTGTAAAGAGCACCTGTGGTTTAGGTTCTTGTTTCAGGTAGAGGTAGCTTACCCATCCTCCCAGGTTTTTGGTGACCAGCGCCATCAGCAGGCAGGCTGATGCCAGCCGTGAGCCCCGCTCCTCCACAAAGTCGATCTCCATCAGACTCATCTCACAGAAGAAGCGAGCCAGAGTCAGCGTGTCCATGCCGACATTCAAACACTGCAGGGAAGAGAAAAAAAATAAAAGGTTAGGCCAAGTTAGACCTTAAGTCTTCAATCGCTCTGCTGTACAACAACATTTACGACTAAAGTCGACCCACCCTGGCATAGCGTCTCAAGAACCGATACGGGATGGGAATGTTGATGTCGAACGACAGCGTTTTCAGGATGTTGGCTTCTATGCTGATGAGCTCGGGCCGTTTGTAAGCGTCGTCGCAGATGTAGAGGAAATCCTCGACGGGGGGCGGGCAGCGCTCCTGCAACCAACGACAAAGAGACTCAAAACGGTTCAAACTGAAATGTCACTTCAAACCAGCTAGGGAAAAAAAAAAAAAAAAAAAAGGAAAAAGTTCTCCCCCAAAATTTGGAGGCGACAAACAGGGGGGGAAAACCGACGGGGCGCAAAAA